CCCCCAGTGCGGCGGCCCCTTTTCGGGGAGCCCACTGCTCTCCAGCGGCAGTGAGACGACCCCTTTTCAGGGAGCCACTCCAGTGCGGCGACGCTCTCTTGGGGGGCCCACTCTCCCCTGGGGGGTCTGCCCCTCTGCTTCCAGCCAGCACCTCACAGGGCCTTCAGCCACCTGCCTCCGCTGTGAGTCCCCTCTGGACCCCCGGGGCCTCCCCTCCCAGAGGGAATAGTGCAGCCCTGTTCTCTAGACCACAGCAACTCTCAGCCAGCACAAAACAGGAGGGTTTATTGAGCTTTGAACGCAGCAATGGATCCCTCAGGCCAGTGGCCTGGGCCCTGAGCCCACACGTCCCGCTGAGACCTTCCTGCTCTGCTCTCAGTCCCCCAAAAAACAACCCGTCTCCCAGCAGAGCCTCCAATATCCCCAGCAACAGCCCCTCCCCTAGCCATTGTCTTCTCTCTAAGTAAGATGGTCATCCGGTCCCTCTCTTCTCCACCTCTTCTCCTCCATCCAATGTTCTCCCCCCGCTGGGGTCCACTGGGCCGGTCCCTGGGGTCTCCCCTCTGCCGCCCATTGTCTATCATCTGGCCAGAACCAGCTGTGTCCTCTGAGCAGGGCCGGGGTCATCAGGGTACCAGACTCCGCAGCTTCAGTTCTGGGCTGTTCTCTGAAACAACAGATTCCCCACCACTGTCACATTAAACCAGTAACATCCGGACACTGAGTGCCCCCTTGTCTGTAACCACCCTTTGAACCCCCCAAACTCCCCACTTCCTCACACCCATGTACAGACATGACCACCTGCCAGGCTGATGGGCCTGTCCCCCTTCACATGCAGACATGCTTCTGTGACGGCGCGTTGGGGGTCCCCCGTCTCCTGCACCCCGAAATGGCACAGACTCCACCAACCAGTGGAATTGAGGGTGGTTTATTGCTTCTCCATGATACAGCACAGCACAGATGTAATCTGGTTACAGGAACTGGGGGCTGAGGCCTCAGTGCCCCCTTGAGATGGGGGGATCCCAGCCCCCTCCCCAGCCAGTAACACTAACCCCCCTCTCCAAGCCCTGCCCCCAGCCAGGGCATCATTCCACCTCCCTTTGTTTCTCCCCATGGGGGGTGGGCTGGTTCAACCGGTATGGTACCTTTGCATAAGAAGGTTTTCCCTCCTGGGTCTTGCTCCAGACAGCAGAGGTCACCACAGCCCAGCAAGTACCCCCACTACGTCACAGCTTCTAACATGTGTTAACACACCAGGGCTAATACATGGACCCACACATGTTACCATGCTGACCTCTGGAGACACATGGACATGCATGTTTAGATACGGGCATCCATGCGGGTTGCTGTTAGTCTCATGCGGTATGTCTACAATACCGGACTAATTTGAACTAAGCTAATTCGAATTATCTCATCTAGACTTAAAAACTAGTTCGAATTAGCGTTTTGCTAATTCGAACTAGCATGTCCACACTGAGTGGACCCTGAACCGAGGTTAAGGATGGCTGGAGGCAGTGCCGGCAGGGCATCAGGTTAGGACTTAGAGTGTGGAGCTGCTGCCTCAGGCTAGCCGAGGGCTGTGCTTAAAGGGACCCGACCCCCACCCCGGACAGACAGTTCTCAGGGGTTCCCCGCTTGCAAAGCAGTCCTGGCTTGGAGTGCCCTGAGTGCCCACACTCGGCACATCACAGCACTCGGCCATCAGCCTGGCTGCACTTGCCGCAGGCTGCCATCCGGAGGGGGGGTCAATCAAGGGGCTTCAGGAGAGCTTCCACCCCGAGAAGCCCACAGAGCCACCCCAGTCC